ATCATTAATTATTTAATTAACCAAAAAAATTATACTTTATTAATAACAAATTAATTCTTAAACAAAACTATTAAATATAAACTAGACAAACGTGCATTGCATGTTGCTTGCACCTAGTGTGTATATATATATATATAGGCAGTTGAATTGTTTAAAACTTATTTGTATGAAAATTATTAATTAAATGTGTTTGATTAATTTATTTTTCAATTTAAAAAATATTATATCTGTTTATTTTTTTATTGGTGAGTAGATGAGAGAGAATTAATTGAAAAATAAACCAACAATTTCTAAAGAAAACGTTTTTCTAATTTTTGAAGAAAATATGGTCACGACTCACATGATCAAAAGTTGGAAAATACTTTTCATGAAAAAAATTGTTAATCAAATACTCTGAAAGTAAAATTTTGGTTGAAAAATGACATTTTAAATAGAAAATAAAATCAAGCAAACGACTCTAACTAACATATAAAAAAAAACTAGTCATTATATCATCAAAATAAAATATCAATCAATGTGATCATTAAGGATTCTGAAAAGTCTACAATTACCAAACAGATTAAAAAATCAGTAACATACAAAAAAGTACACTCAATGTATCATCATTAACGATTTAAAAAATAAATAAAGAAAAAAATGAGATCATATAATAACATATATACAAGGAAGATAGGAAAAAAAGTCGGGTAACATACAATATATTATGAAATATTCTTGGTGTACATAATATATGTACGTGTCCATACACCAAGCACATCCCATATATTACACTCACCGATCCTCATAAGGTATTTTCAAAAATATCAGATCGTGTAATAAAATATAAATTGATTTTCCCACTTGTACGTAAAAAAAATATATAAATAATGTATTACATAATATGATGTGGAGGCAAAATTGACGGTAATTTAAATTGACAAACGGTATTTAAATTTCGATGTACTGTAATAAAATCTAATGTAAATAACATACAGGAAATCATGGTATGTGTCGTCATCATAAATATGTTCAAATAGCTAAAAAATTACAAGATTATGTATAATTATAATAAATAATTGAAGATATAAATTTTAAAAATACCAAGCATTGAATAACTACAAAATTTAAATGTAAAAAAAAAAAAAAAGTGAAAAAATGGAAAAGCTACACCAAATCGTTCACGCGGGTTCTAAGAAATCTCGTTAAGTTTCAATTTCTTTTTAACGGTTAAATTGAAACCTTCTAAATATAAAAGTTATACTCTCATATATTTGACACAATATCGGCTTAAAGCAATAATAATACAAAGTTCTTCAACCATAAATTTAAGCTTTCAAAATAGTTCTTTTTTAAATAGATAAGAAAAATATTCAATTTGGTTTGAGCATTTTTTTAATTATTGAAATCTAAACGAAGTATTTTCCAAACGATTTAGGTTCAGTCTTGATGTTGTCGGGTCCATCAACTAAATCAATGATTTCAAAACCGCATTTCAATTCAATTTAACAAGTTGACTATTTTTGTGTTCACCTCTATTTGGAAGTAGGCATTTTTCCCTAAATTCATTAATTGAAAATTCATTGGCCAATTGGAAGAACATTAAAGGCTAGGAAAAAACCAGTAGGCCAAGCCAACTTTGCTTCATTTAATTGTTTACAAAAGCAAGTAAAAAATGTAATCAATGTCAAAAGTGACATTCATGGCTAACATAACTTTAGAATGAAGAAAAAGAAATTTAAAAAATATCTATTTTACTATTTAGTTTTATTGAATAGTGCATAATAAACATCCTTCTAAGAGTTTAGTTAATTCTTTCGAAAAAGAAGAGTTTAATTATGAAAATTAAAAGTTAAAAAGCTTTTAGGTACTAGAACAAAAAATGAGCAAGAGAACGATTTTTAGGTTTTTTAACAGAGAATAAAGGTGATGTGTAAAAAGATAGGGTTTTATATTTTAACAGAGTATCTGTATAAGATGGGGGTGTTAATTTGGGTGGAGCCCACATGCTCATCCATCATGCTTGGGCTTGTATCTCATGATCAAGCTCCTATGTCCGATCATACTCCTGGATATACATGATTGTGTCATAAGATAAAAAATTTGTTGGATCCAACCTAGACGAATTAAGTACTCGAACCCCCAACCATGTGATGAGGTAAAGACTGATCAAGGATCATTGTTGACCTAACATCAACCCTTACCTCCACTCAAGTTGTTCCGACCTCGAGGACCAAAGAGATTACCTCGGGCTAGGTGCCGGAGGTGTCATTCTTATAAGACCAACCACTTCGATGGCAAAATTCTAGTACGTTATACTATGTACCAACTATGTTGAAACAACCTAACAATGAATCATTTACTAGAATAGGACTCCTAATTACTAGGGGTGTCCTCAAACATAGCATTTGGACTAATTCTAATTTACTATGAGCTACTCTATTCTCAATAGGATAATCTCACCAAAACCCTCTAAGTCCTCCATCTCCATTCAATATTATAGTATGTTTTACCGGTAAAGTTTAACATACAACTGAAACCCTATATCTCTTAAACATCAGAGATGTGTCGAGGGATCAACGCCTATCCCTTGCCCCCTTGTGGTCCACGTCGTGCATTGCCATGTACAACATTGGTAGCAACAACACTCTTGATATGTCTTTCTATGAGTTCAAATTATATAATAAGTTAACTTTGATATTGTTTAATCATTTTTTTTTTTGAATTAAGAGTCTTTTGAGAATTGTTGAGATGAATTTTATATTGACATATCATATTAACTGTATTCAATATTTTTATTTATCGAAAAAATGAAAAACTTGATTATTTATGGATTAATTTTGTTTTTTTTAATTATTATAGGTTTGCTGGTAATCAAATAAATAAATAAATACTTTTTTTTTAAAAAATTGATGTTTACGGCGTGCTACTAAGCATGCATAAATTTCATGATATATTTTACGACGTTAAGAGGCATCCCGTAAAAAGTATATTACATTTTACTGCATGCATTCACTGAACATCATAAAATGTATTAAATATATGACTTACATTTTAACACGCACAGAAGTAATAACGGCGTTTTTTGGACGGTGTACGCTGCATGCACGCCTCCCACTTTTTACAGCATTGCTTTATAAGGCGTGTTGCTGCACGCGTAAAGAGTTATTAATGTGAACTTTGTTGTAGTGTATGAGTTGGAATATGAGAGTCAATTTAGATACCTCTAATCTTTTATAACATTGTGTGAAAAATATCTCTATCAAGATAAAAATAACAGAAGTATAACTGTCTTATTTAAGTCCATCTTGTTATTTTAAAACATTTGTACACAAATAATTATTCAATTATACAATTTTAAACCATGCCTATATTTAATTTAAACATAGCTTGAATAAAAAAGGGATGCGTAGCCCTTGTTTGGTTTAGATAAAAATCAATTTTTTTAATAAATAATCGATGAAGTATATAATTGATAAATTGATAAAAATTGGAGGCCGATGAAAGGTGCAATTGAAAATAAGCTTGAGTAAAAATAAATTTTATAAAATGAAGTATAATTGGGACATGAATCGCAGAACCAATCACTCTTACTAAGACCTTGTATGGGAGGGATTAAAATCGGATTAAAATTGAAAATATAGCCGTTATTGTTAACTTTTATTAGACGGGTGAGACCCAATAACGGCCATATTTTCAATTTTAATTGGATTTTAATCACTCCCGAACGGGACCTAAATACAGAATAATTTTGACTAATTAGCAGAAGTTATATTGTAATGCAAATCACATCATTAAATCAGACTTGTCTTTACTCCCGCGTTTGCCGCTGACTTGTAATTCTTCGGTCCTATGCCTTGCCTCTTGCCTAGTCTAGACGCAGCCCTTCCTCCCTCCCGTCTCACCACGATATACGACCCGACTCTTCTCAGTCACTTCATATCTTATCACGGCACAGGATTTCCTCCAAGCTCTTGTCCTTTTCTGCTTTGGTCTAATACACAGTAGAAACAGTACCTAAACCTAGTCCTTATATATCACCAGATCACTCCCTCCAGTCCAAACTATCCTTCCATCAGCAAAGAGAGAGGAAGACACAGAGAGGCATGGATTTTCATCTTAATTGGACCTACTTAGTCCAAGAAAAGGTCAGATTACTCTCTTACTTCTCTTCTTCGTAGCATTATATTATTACCATGCAATTGATCACTACTTTGCAAGAATAATTTAGGTGGGAATTTTGTGTTTTGTTGAAACAAACAGAGTATGGATGAGATGAGGCAATCTCTACTGCTGACTATGGAACTAGAAGACACAAAATTAAAGGCACAAGAAGAAATCGAAGCAAGAGATTGTCAAATAGCCCAACTAAAACATATGCTTAGTAAAGCCATCGAAGAAAGGGATGAAGCACAAAGTAAGTGCCAAAATATGTTGTTTGAAAAGCTTTTGCTTCAACAACAATCAGCTCCGCATTCTGGGATTTCAAGCATTGAAGATGATCACCCCAGAAGAGGAATTGACTCTAATAATGGTTTTTCTTCATCAGATTGTGAAGAAAGTATTGTTTCATCACCACTCCAATTGCCACCACAGCTTCCGGCAGAACCCGAACTGGAGTTACCAATAGTGATTGACATGCCATTGCCGGAAAAAGGCAAGCTTTTGCAAGCAGTAATGAAAGCAGGGCCACTCCTACAGAACCTTCTCCTAGCTGGCCCTCTTCCACAGTGGCGCCACCCTCCACCACCACTTGACACCTATCAGATTCCACCGCCACCTTTAGTAGTTCCATCACAACCACCACTAGCACCACCAGCAATGCCCACTCATTTCATCAACGAAGACTCATTGCACAACATCCTACCTACCAGCAACAACGTTAACAAGATAAACAAGAAAAGAACACTGTCTGATCAGAGCTCTGATTCATATATGGACTTGAAGTACCAAAAGGTTTTCGTCCAATGACCACTAAGAAACATGGCTTTATTTAGTACTTCTATCATTTTTACTAGTATAATATTACTAAGATTAGCAGATTGATATTGCAATTGCACTATGCAACTGTTTTTGCATTTGTACAGTAGTTGAAATCAGGAGGTGAAGATCCAAAATTGACAATGTGAGACTCGTTCTATGCTTTTTTTGCCATCATTTTGGTTGTAGTGTCCCTTTCCTCAAGTCTTCTTTTTCTGCTTTTCATTTTCTTCCTAGCGTCTGCCTTGTGGAAAAGGGTATATTTCCTCCACTATCTCCCCGTTACAAGACCTTACTACACCATTTTACAAGCCAATTTTAAGGATAAATTTTACATTGTCTTTGATTTACCAATTTGTGTAGTTGCTAGATAGATAAGCGGGGAAGAAGATGGGAACGGGCAACAACCGGAAGGTATGAAAGGACAGACATGTCGGGTTGAGTTGGAGCCCACAAATCAGAGTCGGGATCTTCTAACACAACCTTTTCTCATTATTTTAGTTTGATATGATGTTTCTTAAATCATTTTTCTTTAATGTTCTTTATAATTATGTCTCTTTTCTCGTCTTTTTTACACGGCTTTTGTAATTTGGTATCCAATCTGCATCTTAAATTATTATATGCTTTAAGCTAATAAATCAAAATCATTGACGTAGTTGTTCAAGAAATATCGAGTGCGAATCTTGGAAATAAATCTTTAGATAGAAACTGCTGTCGAATAAAAAATTTGTGACCATCTTTTATCATTTTCTAACATTAAAGGACCCGTGCTTACAAAAAGTAACAACCCGTGAAATAAAACGAAGAAAATGTTAAAACCAATGAACCGAAACAATGTATCTTTCAAGTAATACAACGCGTATACACGAGCAAAGTCCACTTTATGTGTAGTCTAATGCTTTAAAGCATTTTTCACGGCAAAAGCCCACAGAATAATCAAAAGACTCAAATGCAGAATGAATGATTCGCTTTCACATCTAATCTCAAAATTGTTCTTTAATGGTGTACAACAAACAGCATGTAGTAGAAAAAAGTTGGCCACCAAATGACGACAGGCGGCAACGGTTAGAAGATATAATTGACTCATTAGGGACATCACTTTCAATACAATTTGACAAAATTTGCAGCATATGAGAATGTCTATACCGGCAATTTTAATACCCCATAGCAGATTCGGTTAGGGAATATAACGTTAGGAGAGAAACCCAAATTTACACAAGTGAACATAAATCTGCACAAAGGATGCCGTTTCTTGAAATTAAACAACAGAAGCATTTTCTTCTCAATCATCCTCATTTTCATCTTGATTGTCTCGTTGATTGCGCTTCTGAGCAGTATACATCTCTGCGACCTAAACAAGCAACGAAGCTCAGACCAAACATCATGTCAACACATGGACCAAGTAATCAAACCTGTGAAGAAACTGAAATCAAGAATGGAAATAGTTCTTACCATATCCGATGACGATGCCTCCTCAGGATTCTTATCTTCTCGGACACGAAGTAACCGTGGAAATCGCAGTGAAATTCCCTTATATAAGATGAAGGCATGTGAACTATTCAATTAACATTAACGAAAAAGACGAAAAAGAAACAAGCAATCAACTGTGCCAATATAAGAACTCTTAAGTTTGTAGTGTTCATACGTGAAGTGCTGATATCATCATATGCACATGAAAACAGAAAAATGCACAACATTTAAAATAGAGGAAGCGAATACAGAAGCAAAAACATGACTAGAATATATGACCTCAAGAGGTGAAACCCAAAAAGTACTTGATAACAAATGCCAGAACAATTCAAGGTTTTCTTGTGCAGATTGTGCAGTTTTGCACATGGGAAATGCACCCAAATGTACAATGGGAACTGGTATTCTAATGTTCCAGCAAAGAAGAAAATGCACCTTATCAGGATCCACAGTTCCAATGGCAGCACGATGAACTGGGCTGATAGTCAGATCTGCAGCTTTAACCTCCCAAACCTAAAAGGGAATCTACTGATAATGATTACCACATTGAGAGAACCAAATATTCTATAAAAATAGGTTAAGCTTAAAGTACTACATTTCCACGACGAGAAATATTTAAGAAAGAAAAAGTGTTAACAAGCAACATAATGAACAGTAGAAAATTATGCTAATAATGCTCACAGCTCGTCCAGAAACAAAATTTCATATTTTTCTCTTCACAGCCACGTGATTCATAAAGGTCTTTTATCCCTACATCTATACAAGCTGAGGTTAGGTTAGCCATTCTAGATCCCGTCTTAATACAGCTAAGTTTGCCTATCATATCTGCTTGAGGATAAAAAGAATGTGTCACATCTCCATTTACCACATTACTATACTCAAATCATTAATTCTCAAACCGTACTTCACATGATTTTTGGCAGATAATTTTATGAAAGAATGTAAATTTTCTGGAATGTCTGGCGATTCCACTAGCTGGACCAATCTTATTTTCAAAGTTTTCTAATTTTTTATCCAGTCAAGTCTTCAAGCCAACAAATATTTAGCTGCTATTTGATGTTATTAACCATGCAAATTTGCCATGCCATCTGCATTCCATGTCTAGATGTTTGTTTAAAAGACAAGATGTTTGATTACAAGATGAAAATATTATATAGAGCAACAATAAAATGAATAACTGCAGCAAATGCTTGGTAAAAACATTATATACCAATGGAAGAATTAAAAATTTGTAGAAGAAAACGAAGCTAAGATAAATTAAACTCACACAAAGACCAAAATGGATAGAGCAGTAAAAATTAAACAAGAGAACATCTTAGATTTATGACATAGAAACAGACTTGTTCGTACCTCAATGGGTTCAAACCATACATCTGGAGTGATTGAATCAGAATACCTGTAATATGACTGGACAGGACAAGTATTTTAGAAAAGGTGCAGTCCCATTTAAAACCCCTTATGAAGGGCATTAATAAGCACAGACTTCAATTCAACCTTTGGCTTGGGAATAACTTTAGAGCGAAGGCTGGCTGAACGTTCTTCAAGCATTGCTTCTGAAAATCCAGTACCTACATAGAATCACAAGAATCTAGGGCACTTAGACATTGAGGATATGAGTACTGAATTCTTTTATAGCCATCAAACAGCATTGATAAATTGCTTGTCATGAATATAGAAGATCATTATATGTTATCTCCCGTAAAGGTAGAAGATACGTTGGCATTATAGCTCAGTGCAAGAAGTAAATAGCCTACCAATTTTACAAATGCTTTGAAATTCCTCTTTGGTACTATCGTAACAACCAAGCAGAAAAGCACCATACACACCTACAAATAAAACAGTCATTAGCCATGTTATTCAGAAGAAAAATAAAAAAAATCCTCAAAATTACACGATTTGCACTAAATAAATCCACTGGTTAATAGGAAACAGAAAGAATCAACAACTTCAATTAGAAGAGAACAGGGTACTAAACAGTCCAAAGGAAAACAGAGTTCTGTGCTCCATACATCTAAAGAACCTGTAGATGGATGATGTAGACTCAATAGGGAAGAGATTTTGATAACCTTACCGGTGCGTTTTCCCCGTCCATGAAAAGCACCAATTGGTACCAAATCCAGAGAGTCGCCAATACTGCAGAGCATAAAAGATCGAGTAGAAAGTTCATTAAGCTTAAGAAGACTTATTAGTTCAAAGTCGTAGGTCACTGCACTAACCTATCCATGTAATCTTTTTTTAATTTTAACCAATTATGAGACCGTTTTGACGGTTCATATGTAGCATCTTTGTTCAAAGTCTTGATGATCAACCCCTCGCAACTGCCATGTAGAATGAGACGATGACATAAAACAAAAGAGGATAAATGTTTATTGGTAGTTAAATAGTTCTATAAAACAGAAGCTGCTAATTCATCCAAAAGTGCAGTATGAAACAGCTTTAGCTTACTCAGAATTTTTTCCATTGAAACTGGAAATGCAATAGCAGTAAACCGAAATAGATCCACAGTTGATGAATGATATACTCTATAGTAAGTTTGAAAGTTTAAATCATTTTAATGCTCATGACATGGCTTTGTGCTCGTTACTATGACAAATGCCCTAGATTTTGATTATTAATATGCATCACAAGACCAAAACCCATGCTTGAAATGAAATTTACGGTTCCAACTTGGTCCACCCATAATAATTAACATGGACTAATCACAGACTATCATGACAACATCCAAATCCTTTTGCACATTTCCATCAACCTTGAAAAGATATACATGCGAGTTTACTTGAACATTGTGCTTAGTTGATTTTATTCAATTCTAAAAATTAGCTACATTTATTCGATTTTAGTCTGCTTTTACACGATGAGCTAAGGGTCCAGTGGCAAGGATAGCTATAGAGAGATCCAATTTTCTATGCTTATAGGAGAGGAGACAAATATGAATGGAAATATGTAAATGATCAAAGCAGGCCGAACTTGAAATGACACCCATCTCAGCAAACTAGGCTAAAACTGTGCTCCAAGCCTACTAACTCCCTTAAATACATCAACAGACATCACAGCCATGCAGTAACCTTAGCCTTCCCAAAATAGACCCTAGAAAGATAGATACTTCATAATCAATAAGGCCAGCGAGGTGTGACTAAGCTACCACCCGAAGAGGTAATATTAATAGTGTCCAAAAGATCAAAATGGAATGGGCATGCAAGTTGACAATAAGGAAAAATGAAGGATCAGCATATGGTTAATCAAAGTCAAGACAAATAGCAAGAGAAAAAAAATACCCTCTACAGGCATCAAAATATAATAGTTGCATTTGTCAAAAAGTACGATAAAACTACAAATTTTACTGCATACGTCACATTGATTCCATATCAGAAGCAAAAAATAATAATAATAAAAATAAAATAAATAAATAAATATACATACATATATATATATATAGTAAAACCTCTATAAAATAAACACGTTAGGAGTCTACGCCTATAGAGGATAATCATAATTAAAATTATAGCATGTTTTACCAACAGTTTTTCCAAAAAACTTTTACAAGTATCATAGGCTTCTTCCCTCATTATAACACTTGTATTCCTAACTATTTTTCGTCAAATGCTTAGCTTCAACCTCATAGAATTTCTCATTCTTGACGACGGTTTTGACAAAATATTATGTCTGCTTGCTTTAAAGTGAGGGAAAAAATATTTGCATTTATTGTTTTTTTTTAATATATGATGCACAAATAAGTCACTTAATACACTCTCAACAGACCTTTTGAACGAAATGATTATTGGAGAAGAGATGTGCTAATCATTAAAAGGTTTGAGGATAAAAATGCGTCAAAAAAAGTTGGAACATAAGAGCTATATGAACAAAGATTGAGGATCTTATATGCAATTAAAATGTGGTGTAACTAATTAAAAAGAAGCGTGAATAACTTTGTAAATAATTAGAAGGCGTTTGGTTTGCTGTTTTCAAGCTGCTTTTAATTTTGCAAAACACCAAAAACTTATTCAGTTTGATATTTTTTAAAATACATTTTCAAAAATAAGATTAAATTTACAAAATAAAATTCAAAAAGTATATTGACGTTCAAATGTTTTCAATGAAAACACTGAAAATACTCAAAAACATGAGAAATAAGCATTTAAATACATTTCTAAAAAATATAAATTCTACAAAACAAAAATATAAAATTCTAAAACAACAAAACTCTAAAAAATTTTAAAAATAAAAATATTGAAAAAATAAATTTTAAAAATTCTAAAAAATAAAACTCTAGAAAAATAAAAATTAAAAATAGTTCAAGCTATTATTAGTTATTTAAAAAAATATATCTAAATGAACACAGATAAAAAATCTCAATCCACATCATTAATTTTTGTTATTTTATTTCCTATGTATTGCCAACTTAATTTATTATTTGTTTTTATTATTTTTGGAGCGAGAAAAAAATATTGTAAGATTAATCAATTTTAAAATGTATAAATCTCTTGATAATATATTAATATAAAATTGTTCTATTTGACTAAATAATCAAATTTCATAGAATAAAATGTTGTAAAACAATTTTTCAAAATTCCAAATCAAACGTAATTTCCAATTTTTTTGTTTTGAGAAATTCGGAATAACAAACCAAACACGTAAGCAAACCCTCAAGATAGAAAATTTTCAAATCAAAACTGAAACTCAAACCAAACAAAACCTTACTTTCTGATAAATGGAAAAAAAATATACCAAGTGCATATATGCATTGCCAAAAAAAAAACCTAGGGTGAGTTGAGTTCAATTTGAGTACAATGAAAAAGTAAGAAACTTTAGACCCATATTTTCAAAAAAAAATTGAATTGAAAAAAATAGAAGTTTTGGAGTAAGAAGTTCCTTAATATATATTATAAAATTTATGTATCTAACCAATTATTCTTCTATATTTTCATTAGGTTCCTAAGGATTTTAAATAACATTACTATCTTATACATTTAATGAGATTATTAATTTAGTACTGGCTCGAGTAGGGAATGGGAAATTTTATTATTTAAGTGAGGTTATTAATATATCGAACATTCATTTATTGAAGTTTTACTGTATCATCTCCACACTCTACAGTGCGTGCTTTGCATTCCTACAATAGAAACCTTCAAGCCCCCAAGCGAAAATAAAAATGAAAAAGAAAGAAAAAACACAACATAGTTATCTCCAGTTCTGTCAACAGAACGAGCATGTCATCAGCTTAGACTAAAAATAGTATCCAATTTATTGAGGAAAACATTGGTCCCAGGTTCTTGGATAAGAACATTAATTCATTACGTATGCACAACAAACATCACTGCCAAGAGAACAAAAAATAATAATAATGATCAGTAGCAGCAATAATAGCAACAGGATGAGAAGTAGAGATATGTAAAAGTTTGCTTTCCAGGTCACGATCAAAGCAGTAAATAGCATTATATATATAACATCAGGAATTTGTGAAAATAGTAAAAATCACCTAGAACCAACTGAATCTTCAAGAAACTTTTGTATTTCCTCGAGATCATTTGATGTTATAGCAGTGGCAAACTGGAGGAAACTGCATTCTTCCTCAAATGACTTGTAAAGATGCTGCACAACCCACGAGCAGAGGTGAATGTTATATGCAAAGAGAATATAATAGATAATGATCAATAATCAGAGTCCAAACTTGAAAGACAAAAGCGAACACAACATAGACGCTTACTAAACTAGTACGGAACTGATTTCACTACTTCAGGATAGATTGTGAACCATCAGTACAGTTAAGGTTCATTATTTAAAGCGAAAGATCATTTACAGATATCAACATACAAATTTTACTATGAGAAAACTAGATAAAAGATCACGGTATGATGTCAGAGAGTAACATACGTAATTTTCCTCTAGAATTACCCAGGATAACAATTCAGATATCATGCAAAAAACCAAATTAAAGAGCAGAGATTCAAGGACCAAGCTTATAGTAAGCGAAACATGTTCAGCATTTATGAAGTAATCCCACTTTTCTGAAAGAATAATGGAAATGATGCCGAAGATTCTTAGTTGAATAGTTGGAAACCAAGGAATATTGAGGACTGAACAAGACAAACCAAATAGAAGGGTCAAAGAATATAAAAGATCTTAATTATTTAAAATAAGTATATAGGCATAAAGCCTGAACCATATAATCAAAAAATGCACAGAGCATTTCACCGTCAACTAAAAATGAAGAAAATATTTTAGAAATTTTCGGAGAGCTAAGACACAGGACATTGTACCTCTCTACGAACGTCAAGTTGCTCTTGTAGAAGTTGTTGACCATTGAGATACAAGATATCGAAAGCAAATATGCAAACACTAACTTTGATTTCACTCATGACAACATTTTTACGCGCACGCGTACTGAGAACCTGCCATTGACATATTAGGTAGGTATGTCACTTCATAAGATATTTACCATGACATAACAAATGATGTTCTATATAGTAAAAACAATAAACAATCGGGAAATAAACAAAAACAAAACAAACAAAATGTACTTAATTAGAAAGGGTAGCTACCAGAAAAAGATAAATAACAATGAGGCACCATCAGCAAAAGAAACAACTGGGACGAGGGACATTTGGAAGTCAAAGGAAAGACAAAATGGAAAGGTAGAAACTCTAATGGCACACTGATAACTTGAGATAAAGTCATAAAAGATTCTTAAGGTTGTGCAAGTTCTAACTTCTAAATGAGGACAGTCAAGAGATTCAAATCTATTTTTCACACATTCTGATTTTAGGAGTTGTGCCCAATCATTTAGCCCTTGTTTGGGCCCCATTTTAATGAAGTTTTGAGAAAAATGTATTTTGGAATAGTAATTTTTTGAAAAATGTGGTTAAAAAAGGAGAAAAAGTATTGGATTTACGTGTAATATAATTTTATTGAAGAATGTGTGGTTAAAAAGAAGAAAGAGAAAAATGTATTAAAATTAAAATGGAGCCCAAACGGGCTTAATAACTTATGCAGCCTAAAAGCACACACATTAAAACCAAACACTAGATTTCTTAAATACAATAACTTATAATATTATGAAATCACAGTGTAATATACTGGATGGCCGGGATGTAGCAAAAGAGGACTGCACTGAACTTGAGAAGAAATATTTTGGAATAGTAAGTAAGACTGAGGCTTTTCTCAGCGATGAAAATTGTAAGGACCAAAAAAGTATTAGAAATTTTTTTACTTGTGAGAACCTTACATTATGATTAATAAGAATACTACAATTCTATGAGTATTTTAAAAACAGCAGTTAAAACCCAGTTTTGCAACCAATGGCAATGCAGCAATTTCTGACATTGCATCCAAGGTTTTCCATTGTGATCAAAGACAGCAGAAAAATCTATAATTTCAATACTATGTTGATACAAAATCACAAGTTAAAATGAAAACTAATAACCTGGAAAGGCAGGATTTTCTGTTTCTCACGGTCATATGCAACAAGTTCACAGTCGAGAACAAATGATGTTACAGAAGGTTTCTTCAATCTGCAGTCAGACTGAATGTCATTAACCATTGACTAAAACAAATGATCTCAGGCACAAAGTTTAATCATTCATAAACATGTTAAAATAGATGATAACTATTTGAAAAGATAAAATGAAAATAAATCATGAGCAACCATAATCCACTGACTCAAGCATAAAAGACCTAATAACTCATAAAAATTAGCTTCTAAATAGTTCCCAAGCATAGACCATGTTGCAGTACAATTTTATATATGGTGTTCAACAAATAGGATAAAAGTATTACAAGTCCATATGAAAGAGAAGGGAAAATATATCTTTCTGAACCTGTTATTTTTAAGCTGGAGGGAGAGAAGATGCACATGTTTTATGGGTAAACCAAGTAAGTTGTTAATGCTTGCACAGCAATTTTAAATTTCAATATTCAACTAACCTGTTAGTAGTTCAGGAGCACAAAGTCTAAGAAAAACGAAGATTATAAAAGTCAAATGCCAACAACAGATGTGGCAGTAATTTTATTATTCAGTTACAACGAGTTTCAGGGTCGGGAGTTGTGTCCCGATGTTCGAAGTCTGATAAAACTAGGCCCTGTTTGGGCTCCATTTTTCCAAAACTCATTTTCAATCACACTCTCTCATAAAATAATATTACACGAAAACCCAAGACTTCTTATTTTTTAACAACACATTCTTCAAAAAATCACTATTCCCAAGCACATTTTCCCTCAAAATCTCATTTTAATGAAACCCAAACAAGGTCTAGAAGCTCAAGGTATCCATGCGCGGGGAGAACCAACTTGATCTTCAAAGAAGGTTGCTCTCGCTATATTTTTTTATTCATGTAATGGAAGTAATACTTCCACGTTTTAGGCTTGAAAATTTATTAAATATCTTATTTTCCTTTCCGCGTGATGTAATCTCCAGGAGTAAGGCTTATATTGTCTCCCTCCCTCTTCTACTAATTTTCATATTAATAAAGAGGCGTCTGTAGCCTTCACTTTTTAGTATCATAAAAAATAAATAAATAAATTGAGTTCACCAATGGACACATTTATTCCAAAATTAGGCATCTAGTTTCATAAGCCAAAAAAGGAAACTTAGCTATAGATATGCAATAGGAGAGAATAAATACCTTGTAATAGCAGCAACAACATCAGGAAACTTTCCAGTATTTCGTTCTGCATTCCGACTATATATCTCCACTAAACCATTCTCCATATAGTGTATCTACACGAAAAGTTACAGTTATGTCAGCTAAAGATCAAGAATTTAATGTCCTTCCCATCATTCATATGAGACAACCTACAGCATATTTTCCTTTAGAAAGTATTATTACCTGAGCACGTTCTCCATCGTACTTGTATTCACAGGTGAACTCCATGTCCTGAAACTTCTCCACAATTTCTGATACTCCTTTAGTTGGTTTAGCCAACATGGGTCCAACTGGAATACCTGGTGAAAAGCTACACGTCTTTGGGAGATTCCACACACCAGCAGCAAGAAGAGTAGGAACTATTTTATCGTACACAGGAATAACAGAGTATACTTGTTTCACAATTTTTGCTGCCTGGCAATTAGAAAGTCATAACCAGAGATAAAATCAAATGAGAAACCATATTCTAAAAATGTTCATTATATACCAAAATAATTGTTTCAAGGAAAGAAACATTGATAAAATAAACAAATTCGAAAGGGTTCAAAGACATGTTATATACTCATATGTTAAATGCTGTTTTATGGGAAGTAACATAGATAAAAGGGTTAGTTTTAACCATGGCCACCGAACTTTAATTTGTTTCTTATAAAGTTCGGGTATATAGCACGAGGGGCCCCTAACTTTTGAAACTTTTAACGATGCCCTTTCGAACTTTCGACATCTAACACTCGAATTCTCAAAGTTTTCAAATGTCAATATCTAAGATCCTTTTGTACCGTAAAACATCAATTTGACCGTTGGTCAAATTTTGAGTAAAATAATCATTCTACCATTAGTTTTTTTTTTGAAAGGTAAAAAAGAAAGAGTAAATTGTACCATTAGTTTGATTTAAAATAAAAGAATAAAAATAGTTCGAAATAATACAAAAGAAAAGAATTGGAGAATAAATAATAAAAAAGAAAAGAATCAGAGAATAAATAATAAAAAGGCGAAAAAAAAGAAGAAAAACTGAGGCCAATCCACACCCGTCCCCTCATTCCCCAAATCAAATCCACCCACAAAACATGTGGCCGCCACTGCAGCCGCCGCCTCCCTTGTTAATTCAAACACAAATTGAAATCTTAAATTATAGAAAACAGATAAAACTATAAAAGTTGATTCATTAGAAAACTTTTATGTTTCACAAAAAACTACAAAGTTTCTTTTTCGAGTCATTTTATGTGTCTTTTCTTTTTCTTTTTTTTTTTCCTTTTTTCTTTGTTTTAAATCAAATTAAGGATACAATAATCATTTTACTCAAAATTTGACCTTTTAATAGTCAAATTAATGTGTTCCATTACAAAAAAGACCTTAGGCATTTGAAAGCTTTGGAACTCCGAGTGCCATAAATCAAAAGTTTGGATCCATCGTCTAAATGTTCAAAAGTTAGAGACCCTAGTGCTATTTACCCTATAAAGTTCTGTGGTTGTAGTTAAACAAATTAAAGTTCGATCGCCACGGTGATACCAAGCCTTTGTTAGGTTTAGCTAAAAAAAATCAATTAAGATCTAAGTCAAAGATAACAATAAATTTCAACAACATATTTCATGGAACTCATAACTTTTCAACCACATTCTATCAACTTTTATCAAAATTTAGCCCATGTTTGGTGGAGATTAAAATTAGATTTTAGTAGATTTTGATCAACTTTGATAAAATGTGTAGTTGAAAAGTTGTGGGTCCCATGAAATATATGGTTAAAATTAATTGTTTTTTGATAAAATCTGGATTTTAATTCCTAACAAACAGGGGCTTAGTAATAATTGATTTTTATCTAAACCAAACATTAGCTAAATGGAAAGTTAGGTCAGCATGGTAAAATTAACCATATATAAAATAACATGAGAATGAAGTGTCAAAGACCTTCCAGAAGATTATACTAATATACAATGGCCACTCAACATTTTCATACTATAGTTAAAATAAGCTGATGAGAGCACTATTGAAACCATAGAAGGTTTGGCTACAACCACCTTATGATTTCTATCTGCTTGATGTCAACAATCTCATAGAGATATACTGATTTGGTTAGCATGGCAATGGGAAACAACTAAAAGTCTATTCCAAATGTAATAAGTTTATAAGTAGAGTTTGATTTAAACTAGTTCTAAATTAGTTTTATTACCTAGAATAGTATTTATCTAGATTAGTTTTTTGATATATTGCCCTTGTATGAGCCCCATTATCCCAAAAATCATTTTTCTCCAAACTCATTTTCAACAACACATTCTTTTGATAAAATATTTTGCAAATAAATCCAAAAATTTTCTCTACACGCATTCTCTAAAAATCACTATTCATTTTAACATGAAAATGGGGCTCAAACAAGAGCATTAAGTTCATTTAGACTTGACTCTTGATCTTATAAAAGAGAACCTAGAATTTTAATATATTCAAATTATATTTTTGATATAATAGGTCATTTAGACTTGAGTCTTTATCATATAAAAGAGAACCTAGAATTTAGAGCATGTTTGATGCAATCTTTTTAGAATAGATTTCGTGAAAATGATTGTTTTGGAGGTTAAAAAGTAGGGAAAAGTTGTGGATCCACTTGCAAAATTATTTTATTGAGAGAATATGTAATTGAAAACGAGTTCGAAAAATATGTACCAAACATGGCCTTAATGTATTTACATTATTGTTGATATTGAATTACACAATCCATCCCCCCCTAAAATTTTTTCTTCTCTCTTTTTTTAACTCTATTCATTTGCTTCTCACTTTATTTTGCCATTTTCATTTTTGCTCGTTATCTTTCTTTTAATTTGACAAATAAGAACAATAGAGAAAAGGATAACTAACAATTCTTTGTGATTTTTCTTTTTATTTTAAAAAGTAATATGAGCATAGAAAACGAAATGTGATAATGCTTTTTTCTTTCCAATCAACAATAGTAACAATACCTTTTTTTTTTCCTTTTGCAAACTATATTACTGTGGGTAGTAACAAAACAGTACCAGTGAGCACACGTAGAAAACGGGTTGTATTTTCAAGAATTGTTCATTCAAAGGAGCTGATAGACCCGACCAAATTGATACATCACAGGCATAAAGAATTTCAAGCAGATGATTGTATCATGGTTCATATTGCTCTCCAGTGTTATCTAAAAGAGAAGAAACTTTACACTCGCTCACTTGGACATTTTCCCGTCATTAAAAACACCGGAAGCAAATACATATATACTTGATTTCGAGTCTACATCTGCAATGTCTAACAGTAATAGTCACATTTTCAACATTGCAGATTTGTACCCCTATCACTTTCAAACCTCCCCCGTTGACTCAACCAGCTCTTTCGGTCCACAAGCTCCTACTGTGACAACCCATGAGATGTCATTGTGAGGTTCTCCATGATCACTAAGGTTCTTAGCCTACCGGTGACGGGCTTTTTCAAAAAGTACCTTTGAGCGGAGGTTTACTTGTTGCTTCACAAGATGGTAATTAATGAAGATCTCAGGTCCAGTAGACAAATTATCCACCTACAGATGATATATGGACCACAGTAGAAAAGTTCTGACGTCCCAACACGGAATTGCTAGACAACTATTTAGAGTTTAACTTGTCACAGTTTAATTCTTCATGCCCATGGAGAATTAATGGGAAACGACTAAAAGTCTATTATAGAAGTAACAAGTTTAGAAGTAGAGTTAAATTTAGACTAGGTTTTGGTAGTTTGATTACCTAGAATTTTATTTCTATGATTAGTTTTGATTCTTTAAGAGCTCATCTAGACTTGAAATGAAATGAAACCTGAAATTTCAATGTATTCAGATTATTATTGATATTTTATTACAAAACTTCCTCCTATTGTTCTTCTCTTTTATCTAATTTTTTCTCTCTCATCTTTTCTTCTCCTCTCTATTTCTCTCTTCTATTTCTCGGTTGAATTTTGCATCACATAGTGATTCTCTAATTATCCAATTCACAAATGAAAATTCTCTGGGTTTTGAGCGACCCATATCAAGACAACTAGATGGGGAGGGGTCAATCCAGCATTGGAACTCGCTGCAGTCAACTAGCTAAATGTTATTATTCACAAAGTTGTACAGAATTTAATAAAGAGGTTTTGTTAACCAGAAGTCATTAGTCTCTATTAGTTATAAATTAATATAGACTTTCAGACCTTTTGCTCAAGGTCTGGAAGTACCGTTGACGTATTGAATATGACCAAAAGAAAAATACAACAGTAATACCATAATCAACTTCTACAAAATTCAATCTGAAAGTTACAAACTTATAATTAATTATCTATCTCGTGAACGTCTAAATCAAAAGACTACATATCCATCATTTCTATATCAAGGCAAAACAATAAGTTCACTACGAAAAATATCAAATCAATGTTTGATGAAATCGACATAAACTAGTTTAGTACTTATCATCAAGCATGTACATGTTATCACTACAACACAAAATGTAGTCAGACTCAAGTGTGGTGATTTATGAATGAAACATTCTAGGTGAATAGACATCAATAAAATAATAAAAACATATTTCAAAAGTAACAAAGTTTTTAGTTACTGTGTGATAATATCAAGTTTGTCATAAAAAGGGTTTTTTATCATGTATTTTAGTTTTAGTTAATGCCTAAGAGCACCCTTTTCTATTACTTTTGATTTCTTGCTCCATACTGATATAAGCATACAATATTTGGTTCACTAATGGTTAAGACAAACAAGTAAATACTCGGTCGGGGTAGGAAACTTCTTAATGCAGAATTAACACCTACTTGTGGCCTAAATAGAAACAATAATTTTTAAAACATATTGTGCACCAAATTCCAATGCCACTAGAAATGGCCTTCACATCGCCATTACCAAACAAATAGTTTGTGTATGTACTGCACAATGTCTTACCTCTTCTAGAGGATTATTAACATTTCCAGGAGGGGAAGAATGCTTCTCAGAGTACACTGCAGCATGTCCCAGTGCAACCAAGAGAGTTTGTTCTGCCAAACCAATGCGCAATTTTGTCTGCATATTTTCAAATCACATTTATAATGTGACAAGAGCCAAATACAACAAAAAACAATGTGTTTGTTTCAACCTGGAGTAGGCGTATCAAATATTGAGGTTCACAATCAGTGGCTGCAACAAGTAGAGCCTTTATGTGATTCTTTTTCTTTTCTTGGCTATCCTTCCCAGATTCCTAAGAAAAATCATACATAACAGAAAAAATTAATGGCAGAACTAAAAGGAGATTATCTCTCGCTGCCTAAGACTTTAAGGGGTACTGGAATAAATCCTTTGGAATTTGATAATGAACAAGTGACAGACAGCTATGCATCTGTGAATGAACAGGGGGCAAACATCAATTATAATATTCATTATCACATTCTTTTAATTCTTAAGTTTGCCATCTGAAGTACACCGCTACTTGGAAAGGGATGGAGAAAGCATCGAAGTCCTTCTCACTTGGAAAGGACCATTCATTTTTTGAGTTGTTGCTCTCTACCCTTAGTGTGCCCCCTGGATTGAAAGAACTTTAACTTGCTACAATTTAAACTTCATATACCGTCCAATATTATTTTCTATTATCTGACACCATTTGAGCTATTACGTTTATTTCTTTCTCTAACTCTTCCATGTCCTTGGACAAGCCATTGGCAGATAATCACTCGCAATTGCATACTGGTGAATTTTTTGGGGTCTTAAGCACAGAATTATTTGGGGTCTTAAGCACAACTAACTAAAATATGGGTATCCAAAATGGAAATAAAATAATCTTAATTGGATTAAGAATGGTATCCACATATTCCTATTTGCAATAGGAACTAAACTATGTGTTGAAAAGAAATAATTAAACATGTTGGAGACCATAAAAATGAGACCATGGCAAAACAAAACACAAGGGGGAGAGGAAATTCGGCCACCTTACCTCTTGGTATGTTTTATTTTCTTCTCCCATTCCTGCAAAATCTCTCCTTTTTTATTGCTTGGGACTAAGAAAATATTTGGCTCTCTTTGCAGACAGGTGCTCTCATCACGAGGGTTGATTTTTTGCAATAGTATTTCCCTCGAGACTGGTGATTCAAATGTTACATTCTCAAATTTTGAGGTATAATTCTTCAGTTTTTATCCGCTGCAAGCCCTAGAATGCAACACCTTGCTGCTGGACAGTACTTCCATAGTTTCACAAGAAATTGGGGAGAGGAAGAAGCACAACTTAACTCTGGATTAGTGCTTTTATAAGCCGGGGAGAAATTATGAAGCAAAAGGGACTGGAGAAGAATTTAGTTTGTAACTTAACTTCAATATTTCTCTTTAATTTCAGAGAACTTTACAATTTACTTATATAACTGATTTGGCTTCCAAATATCATGCTTCTAATTTACTTACTTTGCCAGGCAAATTTGAGAGTCTAATTGTAATGGATAAATAGCTTATAAATGAATTCGTGGAATCAATTATCTGGTAAAATTCTCTCCTCTACACCAATTCTTCCTTGGTTTTCTTCTCTTCTGCTAATTCTCCGAAATGGTGCAGTGCAGGATTTCCTCTCACGCCAATGCAGGTAAAACTTTGTCCTTCTAGTGAATTTTCAGACTTGACATCACAAATATCCAACATCTAGTACTACATTTCATTATTTTAGCCTCCGTTACTTCAGTTCCTTGCATGTGGAAATCTTTTGATTTAGAATATGTCAAATACTACGGCCAAAAATCTTTATGATATATCGTGATCAGCTTGAAATGCAACTTGAAGGCCTTCAATCAGCCAACAAATAAACTAAAGTTATGAAAGGTCTAAAATTTAATTGGATGCCATCTAGCTATAGGTTTCTAACTACTCGTGACTCTAGCAAGACAAGTATTTTCTTCATTTTTTTATTTTTTTGGAATTCAATTAGCATGAAATAAGATCATAGTGCAGCTAGCACTTCCACTCTTAATACTAAAAGTTCATCAATCACAAACAAAATGTCCTCGACAATAGATGCCTCCGACAAATTTAAGACAGTTGGAGAAACATGTTTGCTTCATGACAGTCATTTGCTTTATTTCATGCTCCAAAATTTCTAGCAAGTTACTTATGTACTTCGGTTTTCTATCATCTATGGTATGAAACAAATAATGAATCTCAACATTACTGATTAAGAACAGTGATTAACAACTTAGCGTATGTACTTCATAAGACATAAGCTACTACTTAGTAGTGTATGTGCTTCAAAAGTTATAACACGAGAAAACGAAATTATGACAAATAGAGAAACTTAACAACCATTCGTTTGCACGTGTCTAGAAGTGGGATAAGTGCTCATTTTTCAAAATGATGTAATTCAATCAAGTCTAGATTCTTTCTGTTAGGATACAATGATGAGCAAATAAAATGCGGCGCAAGAATCAAAACTAAAGACATAAGGTGACATCACAAAATCTACTTCAAAACAAACCAAAAGATTAATAATGAAGAGGATGACCGTAGACTACCTTAGCAATAAGTCGGAATGTTTCAAAAACTTTGATAACAGTTAATGCTTCTGGTTTGCGCATCAAAGGCTGTGATGAACGGCTTGCTTTTGCAACAAGGCCTAAATCTCCAAGCTCCTGATATTAGTAGACATTGAAATGCATTATTTGAGAAATGATTGTGAGTGAAGGGTAATAAGAAATGCAGATAGAAAGAGCCACATGAAAGTAACATATTATCAAACCATAAACAAAAACTAGATGCTGTTGCTCATTTTATGGAACAAAAGCGTAAGTAAAAAGCACATAAGAATAGTTAATTACTATTTTCTTTCATAAAAGGTATATGCTTTCGAACGAAATAAGCTAACAGCATACAAAATAGAAGCATAAATCATTGTGAAACCATTGAGTGAATATTCCTTATTCTATATAGCGATTTCTGTTGCAAAAGAATGTTTGCAGCCTCAAACCTATGGTCAAAATTTGTACAACATACACTACTTATCCCAAAAGAATGCTAAATGCTGAAGAACATGGTAGGATAGCATAAAATTAGCGTCGCAAATATTTTCAACAAAATGACATGACCCACTTTTAGGTAGCAGCAGAATAGATGTCTTTGCCACTGTAGTAACTAGTGAAAATGATCTAACAAACAATAATAAAAAAGGATTAGTAGAGTGGCCACTAATCTCATCATCAAACAATTCCAACAAGTCTTCAAAGATTAGTATCGCTTTATTGTCTCAGACATTATGCAAATGAATTCCAACTAACAATAGAAGAACACAAACATGGCAAATTATTATTTATCAGCCTAACTTTCATTTGAATTCACAAACATAGATTTCCAGAATGGATAGTTAATTAAGATGACAAAATCTCAAGTCAAAACAACCCAAGCAACTTTTTATAAAGTACTTAATTAAGAACATATATAATCTCAATACACGGAAATGAAAATATCTTAACTAATCAAAAAGTCAATTACAGCTGTGACAGATAAAAATCAAGATTTGAAATGGCGATTTCAAGATGAAGGTTCATTCACCAAGCCTATTGCAGCTAAAAAATATACCAAGAATCATCAGAACTGAGCGATAAAACCATTTGCAACATATAAATAGTTGAAACGTCAATGCCAATTAGAATAATTCAAATCAGCACCTTGTATTGCTTCTTAATGTGTGCTTCCTTAGTCCCACAAGCCTCTGCAAGCGCCTTATATTATCTTCGTAGGGGTTAGGGTTGCTCCAGACCTTCATGTGCAGATGCAATCCTATTCGCCAGAAGGTATACAACTGCCACCAAGTCATCTGGTGTCGTCTCAATTACAGTCCTTAACATATTACACACTATCTCCGTGATTGCAATCCTGCCTGACTCCTTCGATATTGCGTCAAAGGCTTTCACAACAAACATAAACGGAACCCTCTCTCCCTGCCCCCAATACACCGCCCTCTTCACATCAAAACTAGATGCCTTCTTCCGCAACTCTGCTACACTCTCATCTGGACTAATCAACACCTTGGCTTTCTTTGCCACCTTTAAGCCTTTATCCGAATCAAAACTTTTCTTTGGACTTGATTCTTTGGCTGTTATTTTATCCTTTTTTCCACTTTTGGAAATGGAAAAATTTTCATCTGAGGTTGAATCAAGAGTGGTTTTTCCACCATTTTTCGACGAAATCTCAACATGGGTAGTTTCAATTTGGTCAAGGTGTGAGTTTTTGGTGCTTAATTCGTCTTGTGTTGCTTCATTTCCAGCTGGGTCGGCAATGGGATTTTGAGAATTATTATTAGGGTTTAAATTGGGATTTTGAGAGCTTTCAGCTGGGTTTTTGCGTTTTCTGGGGGAGGATTGCTGTTGGGTTTTGGATGACATCTGTTTTTTCTTGGAAGCATTGGACATGAGGACATCAAAAGCTGAGGGCCGAGAGGAAGACATTATTTTGAAGCTAGGGTTTGACTGAGTAAACAGGAATACGGGTTTCGAAGAGGACGATTTTGGGAGGTTTAACGTGAATGAAATTGAAAATATTCCGGTAAAATTACGAGAGAAACTGGTGAGTGTCACACGGCGGCTGTAGGAGCGGAGTGAAAACATGAACTGAGTGGGTTGGGTTGGAAGGTGAGAGAAATGGCGGGAAAGAGGTTCATTATGCGGTCGATCGAAGGGGCAGAGGGGAACTAATGCAGTAATGCAAAATGCTATGTTTTTCGGCTTAGCCTTAGCCAAGGCAAACCGGTTAAAATTTTAAGAAATATAAATGGGAAAATTATGGAAAAGGTCCCCAACCTTTGAGTTCATTGGCATTTCATCATTTTCGTGTAAAATTATAAATTTTCTATAAGACAAAATGTGCTAATTTAAATTAAGGAGGGTTATATTGACACCATATTTTTTATTTATTACACCATATTTAATTATAGTAAAACTCTTCAATTTTTGCTCATTTTAACAACTATTTTCTTAACTTTTTTCGTCGATTTTTTATCTTCAACCTTCCATTAATTAGTACATCTCGTACTTGATGATGATTTATATCAAAATATTTTACTTTCATGCTTTGAAATAATGAAAAAATATTTTTTTCTCATTTTTTATTATTTTTCTTAAATATGATGAAAAATAAGTTATTTTATGCAATTTCAACGTACTTTTGAACATAAAACTGTTATCTAATATAAAATATATTAACTACTGAAAAATTTGAGGATAAAAATAACATAAGAAATCACTAGGGGCATAAATGCTATAATAAGCAAATATTAAGAATCTTAAATACAATTAAAATGTTGTATAACGAATAAAAATTGTGGCATTAATGCAACTACCCTTAAAATAATTGTAGGGTGAAGACAGGCATCGGGAATGCGACTAAAAAAAATTAGAGAATAAATAAACAAAGATTGGAAATCCAATAGATCCAAAAGAAAAAAAAAATTAGAGGTAGAAGTGAAAATAAATTCGAAGGTTAGAAAATTTTCGTAATTTACCTTAAATGTTTATAAACGGTTTAAATTACAGATAGATATAAATTAGTGGTGTATAATACTTACGGGTACTTAAAAGTGTTATGATAAAAAGTAATTTAAATGTTTGTAATCAGTTCATGAACACAAGCCCAATCTTGAACTTATTATCTTTCCTCAACTTCGTTCCCTATTTTTTGGATTGGTCTTCTCTTAGTCTTTTTTTTCTTTCCGATTTGTCTTTCCTTCTTTCCGAACTTGTTTTTCTTCCTTGAACTTCTATTATTTGACTTGAAAATTATCAAATTATCTTCCTAATATTGTACTTTAGCCACTAGAGTTTGGAAAATTACCAATCGAACTTATACTTGTCAAAATTGCAACAAATGCATCTAAATTTTAAATAATCATTTGTGATCATTCTCAAAACTGAAGTTCAAAAATAAAAAACGTACAACTTTTCTTAAAATGAAGCTTGGTCTTTAAAAATTTTCAAATATTGCAATTATGTTCCAAATTGCTTTTAAATCCTCAAATATCTCGTATTGTCACTAATAACTCCCAAGTCCATTATATCTACAGCCAAAATATTATTTTGCAAATTTTACACTTTGATCCCTTGAGAGTTGAAAGATATCTATTTTGGCCCTCAAGTTCTCAAACTCTTCACTTTAACCACATATACATCTGTTGGTACAACAAGGGAGGCTGAAACAGCAACACAACAGAAAATCATTGTTAAAATTGTGCGACAGATTAATATAATCTTAACAATCGGAAAGGAAAATCTTTACACTCAAACTATTATATGATGACGAGCTGTATCGCTAGCAAGAACAAGCATAAATTATCGAAATTAAAAGTATTTTACGGTGAAGATTTTCATCATAGTTTTGTTTCTTTAATCTTAAAAATGAACACTTGAAATTTGTTAATAAAATATTTAACAACATGCCTTTTTTTTGATCGTTAGAAAAAATTTAGCATTGAAACTAATTTTCTACGCATTATTTACAATCACACAACGACAGAAGATTTAATTTTGTTGAAACCGAACGATGACAAAAAATAGAATTTCTACCGTTAATAACTGTTTTGATCGTAGAAAATGGAAGAAAGTATTTCCCTAAAGACGCAATCAAACTATTCATTCTAACTAAAGTTGTCTCTTTTTCCGAGCTAAGTTGACCCGAAATTAGCACCGTATGTGAAAAGTTGGAGCACTTCACCATTTTGTTCAAAATCGCCTTTCGAACTCTTCATTCTCATCTTTCATTTCAATCAATAAATTAGAACATGAGACTATGGGATCCCACCCAAGTTTTTCATTTGGCTCCAGCAAATAATTAATTCAACTTCTTTATTGGGCACGTGCAACTATGGTCCAATCATTAGTTTCGCACACTCGCACCACGTGTCACACATTTACCAATTTTTTAAATTTTTTTATCAATTCAGTTTGTGTGTCGTAAGTTATAGTCTATTTATGTCTTAATCTATGATTGTCACTGATTACGCACACAACCAAGTAATTATATATAACTCTTAAAAGATGAACGAATATCTTGCTTTTCATTTTTAACACAAAATTATATATTGTTATTAGTTATTATAGATTATTCGAAGTTTTCTCGAAAAAAAATATTTTGTAACAAATACCAATAAAATCGTGCATACATGCTTTTACAATTTTTTAAGTTGTAAAAATGCATCAACTTAAGATAAATAAAGAAATTGATTTTTAGCTACAAAATAACATCTAATATCAAAAATATGTTGGTCGATTGATTTTAATTTATTCTTTGAACAAGTTTTGTTAATTAGAATGTGCAGACTACCAAATTTTATTTGTAAAATAAAGAATTTTTGAAATTATTTTATGTTTTATTAACTTACTAAGATTAATTTATATACATTTTGATGTTAGAGTTTAGAAAAAAGAAAAAAATAAATTTTATAAATATTTGATGAAAAATTAATAATTGGAAAGTAGGATGTGATTTTTTATTCTAGGTAAGGTTTTTTTTGATGATATCTTACTTGCACAAGAGCCTCTTTATGACCTAGATAAAAGGTGTAGACAGTCAATCGTTCTTTTTAAACTTGACACAATAAAGGCTTACGAAAAATTAGCTGTAAAATTTTGTTGGAAATGTTACCGGCATTTGGTTTGTTCGCTCTTTTGGCACAAATCAATCCCCTAAAACTAGCGAATTTCGCGTGAAGTGCACCTCATGATTGGCTGCCAGACTACCAATTGATACAGTGTTGTAGCAATGACACCGATTGCGCTAGCTTCAAAATGTGGTTGCTATAACCAAGTGGAAACTACGTGTCAGTCTGTCACTGATTTTTTGACCGTTAAGGAAGAAGTTAGAAGTAAAAAATGGCTGCTGGCAATTATTTTATGTTTTATTAACTTACTAAGATTAATTTATATACATTTTGATGTTAGAGTTTAGAAAAAAGAAAAAAATAAATTTTATAAATATTTGATGAAAAATTAATAATTGGAAAGTAGGATGTGATTTTTTATTCTAGGTAAGGTTTTTTTTGATGATATCTTACTTGCACAAGAGCCTCTTTATGACCTAGATAAAAGGTGTAGACAGTCAATCGTTCTTTTTAAACTTGACACAATAAAGGCTTACGAAAAATTAGCTGTAAAATTTTGTTGGAAATGTTACCGGCATTTGGTTTGTTCGCTCTTTTGGCACAAATCAATCCCCTAAAACTAGCGAATTTCGCGTGAAGTGCACCTCATGATTGGCTGCCAGACTACCAATTGATACAGTGTTGTAGCAATGACACCGATTGCGCTAGCTTCAAAATGTGGTTGCTATAACCAAGTGGAAACTACGTGTCAGTCTGTCACTGATTTTTTGACCGTTAAGGAAGAAGTTAGAAGTAAAAAATGGCTGCTGGCAACGGTCGGATCTTTTATGAAAATCAAGCAAAAATTGCTCCCAAACAAGCACATATTATTGTATCCTTATTTATGGAGATTTTGCACGAAACATTTGGAGGAGTTACAAGTTGCTTTTAAGTTTTGATGGAGCATAACGACTGAATTTTGTACAGGCCGGGACATTTTTTGACTGGTGCAATCGTGCACAGCTCTGTGTAAGAAGGGGCAAATTACGGTGCAGCTTCCTTTTTTTATAATTTGGTTATCGTGGCTTGAGCTACGGTTTGAAGTAGATTCCACGGTGGCTGTGGAATTCATAACACGTAATATATAGGAGAGGGTCGTGGCATTTTCAGTGTCTTATATGTTGAAGAAATAAAGAAGCTACTAAACCCTTGTTTGGCCCCTATTATAATGAGAATTTTGGAACAGTAATTTTTTGAAAAATGTGCGGTTAAAAATAAGAAAAAATTTTAAATTTACGTGTAATATTATTTTATTGAAAAATATGTGGTTAATAAGAAGAAAGAATTTGTGAATTATAATTTTAATGGAAGCCAAATAAGGGCTAAATTGTTTTTATGCGAGAATAACTCTCATTTTCGAGATTGAAACTCAGTGGTGGATTACATGGCAAATGAAGGCTTGAACCATGGTAAGCGTGGATCCTTGGATAAGGCAAAGTAAAAGGAAATTGGCAAGATCGTCCCCCTCTTAAGCTCTTATTGTAAGGGAGTTAGTACCTCCTCATTTAAGTATTTTAAATTCTCTCTCCTCTCATCGAAATTTCTGAAGGCAAGGTTGAACTGTCTTACTCGATCTCATGTGTACTTCGATTTTTCTATATATAAAAATTAGGGGTGAGCTCGGTTCGGTTCGGTTCGATTTTTTTCGGTTCCAAAAATTTTCGGGTATTTAGTAAATGGAACCGTCGGTTCCAAATATAATTTTGGAACCGTTCAGTTTCGGTTCGGTTCGGTTCGGTTCTGTTCCCTTCCGTTCAGTTCCGTACTATAATTAAATTTTTTAACATTTAAAATAATACTACATAAATACATCTGAAAGTGGATACTAATATTAACAACAAAAAGTAGATACAAATAACAAGTTCAATCTTAACTTTTACAAATTAACGTAATCTAATTTAATAACATATAAATAATAAGTTGTCAAATACAAATACCAAAAAGTAAATATTACTAATAAAACTTCGATATTCATATCAATAATTCATTTGTTTCAAACCTTCAAGTCTACATAAAAGTGAAATATAAATTAGAAGTCACAAAGATAAAATATTTTAAAGTATTGATAATACTTACCAACTATTTAATGTAATCATCAGTTGGTTGACTTTCCATACTAACTACTAAGAAACTATACAAGAAAAAATTGAAAAAAACACAACTAACAAACATAAATAAACTCTAAATTATTCAACTAGATTTAATAAGAAAAAAATTATTAATTTGTTTAGAAAAAATAAAAGAAATTGATTTATCCAATATATATAAAAAAAAAATCGGTTCTTATTCAGTTCTTCGGTTCTTGGTCGAGAACCGAGAATCGAACCAAACCATTCGGTTCTCGATTCTAATACCCTTTCAGGGTATTTCATTTTAAAAAACCCGCTTGATTCTGTTCGATTCGATTCGGTTCGGTTCGGTTCGGACATTTTGCCCAACCCTAATAAAAACCACGTAAAGGCACTCTTAACACCCCCTCCCTTTGGTCTAGGTGGAGGCCTAAAAACTCTGTCTAGGCATTGATTATGTGTTGCATTAAAAATATCTCTGGCTAAGTGTAAAAATAAGTATTTTTACTTATAAATGGGAAGAAAGTGGTATAACCAAAAATGAATAGATTTGGTCAAATTTAAAGTATGTTTGGGAGTTATTTATAATTAGTTTAAATTATATATAGATATAAATAAATAGTGAATAATACTTGTAAATCTCTCGGAATACATAAATAAAAAGTGATTAGATTGATTATGAACAAATTATGAACAAGAGGCAAATAAGGTCTTCAACATCTTGTGCTTGACCTAGTTACCTGGGATGATACAGAAGACAATGAATTGAGAACTACACAACTTCGATACTACAATACATCAACATCATTCTGAACAACTTAACCTAAAAATTAATGTTGATATTATACCACAACATAAATTTGTTTTTGGTAGGCCCATATTTGCAGTTTCTTAGCTAGCAATTATATATAATACTTTCTTGGATAATCAAAGATCATCAGTGCATGAACAGAACAAACAAAGCTTCAATTATTAAATAAAGAAACCAATCAGTTGTCTCTTGTTAATTTGCATTAGTTTGTCAACTCCCTTTCGGATTAAAATATGATAATAACTGAAACATATTCGATTCCGTTCACACTGGCCTTCTATAAAATATCAAATACACCTCTCATCGTTAAATTGTCAAAAAACCAATGGAAACGCAATTCCCATTTCAGAATGCCACGGATTTTGGGTTAATTGATTTCTTGGATGAAGCCAGTTTTAATCAATTTATTGAACTTATAAGGCGAGAGAATGAAGACCCTTTTATGAATTTCAGCCAAAACTATGATTATGATCCACACAAAGCTGGCTGCTTGGCTGAGAATCAATTTGCACCAGCCCCCGTAGAGTTGTTCGATTTCGACATTGAAACGTACTCTAATCTGGATTGTGCAATTGGTTCATTCCCCCAGGACACAAAGGCAGTGGAGGAGGAAAATGATGAGGAGGAATCTTCAGCAACCACCACCACGCCAACCAAGAAGAGCACAAAACTTGATAGATCGAGAACTTTGATTTCAGAACGACGAAGGAGATGTCGAATGAAGGAAAAGCTCTACGCATTGCGTTCTTTGGTCCCTAACATCACCAAGGTGTGTTCTAAATGCACATAATAATTTGTTATATGATCAAATCATTTCTGATTTACACATGGTGTGTGTATGTTTGATTTGCTCTCATTATAATTATTTAATCTCGTCTTAGCTCTAGGAGTAAGTTTAAAATTTCAACTGTCACAAGCACGAACTTTTTGTGGTGATGCGCCCTCGGTGTATGCAGATGGATAAAGCTTCAATAGTTGGGGATGCCGTAGTGTATTTGCAAGAGTTGCAAAAGCAGGCCAAGAAGTTAAAAGCTGAGGTAGCAAGTCTGGAATCATCCTTGACACAAGGGGATAAATGTCATGGGGTAAACATTCAAACTACCAACAAGATGAATGCTACTAATTTCTATTCGATAATCAAGAAGATATTGAAGGTATTAGGCTTTACGCGACTCAAAAAAATTCTACATATGTAATAAAAGTTCCATCCATAACATAAATATTTGCAGATGGATGTATTTCAAGTTGAGGAAAGAGGATTTTATGTGAGATTAGTCTGCAACAAAGGGCAAGGTGTTGCAGTGTCCCTTTTCAAGGCCCTTGAATCGCTTATAGGCTTCGATGTTCAAAGCTCCAACTTGGCTACGTCTGCTGATAGTTTTGTTTTGACATTCACTTTGCATGTAAGCAATATTCCTTTAAGCACGTCCTTCTTTTACAGTTTACTCAGTTTTCTTTCTATCTGGTAATGAACAAATGAATGTGAAACAGGTAAGAGACAGCGAAGTGGACATGAACTTGCCAAATTTGAAGCTGTGGATTGCTAGTGCTTTTCTTAATCAAGGATTTGATTTTGGAACTTCACCCTCTGCCATGCTGCCTAACATCACCTTAGCATCATAAACTCTCCGGATTTCTTGATTAATATTGAAAATGATCTTGGATTTCTTACTTATATTTTGTGTCACTTCTCTTTGGTTTTATGTTTGAGCTACATGATCCTCATGTACCAAAAGGGAATCCATGTATATTATATTTGTGTTCACACACACTGATCCTATACCTTCCAAGATGTCATTGGCAGCAAAGAATTTTATTTGTGTTCATAGACGATAATGAATCATTGCAAGGCAAAATTAAAAGTTGGTGCAAAGAAAAGGACGTGGACTTACACGTCTTTGCTCTCGAGTAATGTTATTTGTCTTTATCAGTGATGACCATCATATGATATGATATTAAGCCCGCTAATTTTTTTAAGAATGTGTGGTTGAAAAGGAATGAAAGATTTTCAGGTTTATGTGTAAAATTATTTTATTGAATAATATGTGATTAATAAGAAGATGAAGAAAAAATAATTTTAATTTAATGGGGGCCCAGTGGCTAATAAATTATAAGGTCAACAACGTGAATCTCATATTAATAATGATATACTTAATTGGCATTAACATTTTATAACACATCACATGCCACACAAATTGGTGATCGTCTCTAATAAAAATAAATAACATTATTACTTGTTGTCCATAAAAAAACCATTGCTATTTCCAATATAAAGCAATATCAAGAATTGCCATCTAGCCCTTTTAACTACGAGCAATACTATTCAAGTACCATTATAGGTGATACTAAGAGACATTAAATGACTGGTACAATTAAATGAGTCAGATGATTCTATATTTAATTGAATTTATTACACAGCACTACCTACACTAATGTATCACTATTCAACCACTTGTCACCAACCATACCCATCAGAAAGAAAAAAGGCCTTTGCATATTTAACTAGTGCAAATTACACAAAACACTACTTTTCAAAATCCATATTCAAAAATCAGATCATAAGTTTAAGTTTTCAAAAATTAGATATTTCATATTTAATTAAATATTATTTATAAAATTTCATCCCAATTAATTTCAACCCTAACCAAACCTAAAATTCATTTCCATCTCTCCTCGTCCCTCTTCTCTCCTCTCCGTCCATCCGTCTCTATCTTCTCTCTTCTCCCTCACCGGCGACGCTGATGCTCGTAACGCCTCCCATATCTGCCGGCGATGTCACTTTCCTCCATTGAAGCGACGTCGCAACCGCCCTCGCGTCGCTGCGAGACCACCACCCCTCTCATCGCCGCCTTCTTCTTTTTTTAAGGCGACCGTGAAATGATAGGAGTTTGGCTGGATCTAGTGGCAATCTGCCATCCACGGCCTACGGTCGCACTGAAACCCAACTAATTGAAGGAGCAAGTCATTTTCAAATGGAAGGACCAGCTTACGATTTCAGATGTTAAATCTGATAGTGGAGTTCATTACTTCACTAAGGTTGCAAATTTTGGTTTTAAATGTGTTTTGGCCGGATTTGTGTTTTGGTTTTGAATGTGGCGGATATGATGGCGCTATTGTGGTTGACGGGAGGTGCTGGTAGTGAAATGAGAGTTAGAAGTGCTGCATCTGGATTCGGGAGACGGTGTGTGCGGTGGTGGGTTTGCCATGAGGTTGTGGTGTTAGGTGCCAGGAGGTTGTGGTGTGCGTGTGGCGATGGGTGTCAGTCGTGCTGGTGAGATGGTGCTGAAGGTGACACTATTATTTTGTTCGTAGTTATTGGTGATTGTGATTATTGGTGGTCGTGATTATTTTGTGCGTGCGTACGTGCGGCGATGGGTGTCAGGTGTGCCGACGATAAGGGGTTGGAGGTGACTGTGATTATTTTGTGCGTGTAATCGAGTGTGACCAATTAAAATTGTGTCTGTGACTCACTGTAATCGAGTTGTGATCAATAAAAGTTTTGATTTGTGATCTCGAATAAATTTCTGACTTGTGACCTGTCCCGTGACTTGATTTTTGACTTGTGACCTGAGCTATGACTCTTGACTTATAACTTGTGACCTGAACTAGGACTTGTGATATGGGCTGTGACTCTTGACTTGTGACATGAGCTGTGACTTATGACGTGGGCTGTGACTTGTGACCGTAAAAATAACATGTTAATCGTACAAAAAAATATAGCGGAGCAGTCACCGGAAAAATCGATGCCGGAACGGTCGCCGGAATCGGAGTAGTCGCCGGAACGGTCGTCGGAAAGTTCGCCGAGTAGGACGGTGATCGAAACGGTCGCCGGAGCGGTAGAGGTGGTGAAGGTGGGATGAATTAATTATATTATGTTATAATTAAATATTTAATAATAAATTAATTTAATAATTTATTGTTGAATAAATAAAAATTTAAATTTTTTTAATAAAAATCTGATTTTAGAAATTTCAAACTTATTTTTTTGAAATAGGTTAAAACTTATTTTCTTGAATATGTAATCTTCCCATTTAACTATGTAAAGCTTATGGGTCTATATATGCAATTATTGGGCTTTAATCACTTCGCTATATAGGTTTGTTAGACACTTGGACTGGTGGGTTAACCAAAACCTTGTGTAACGTAATGAATGGGCTTATAGTTTAGAATTAGGTTTGTAATGATGTGGTGAAAATACTACATGTTTACGATTTGTAAAAAAAATATTAGTGTATTTTCAATAAAGCATTGGCGTTTTTGCTTTGTAACTGATAGTTAACCGAAATATGTCAATGGCAAGGCAGCTAATGTGGTCTCTAATTTGATTTCAAATGTATCTCTCCAATACGAGACTCTAAAATTTTGTTCCAATTTGTCAACTGTATTTCATCGCCTATGAGCTCAAATTGACAATATAATGTCATAAGTTGATATGAAAAAGGATTGCAAATATTTTGAGTTTGTAACCTATAATTCTTCACATGTGACCTTAGTTTTGAGTTTTAATCTTTCATTTTTGGTGGGGATTTGTTACGTACTTTTGAGTTGTTGAATAACAATGATATTTAATTTCTTGTATGTGACCTCAATTTTGACCTGAATTTAATTGTTAATAGTTGATAATTACATTTTGAATTGTTAAATATTTGTGACATGTGAAGTTGATCAACACTGTGAGGGATAGCCATATTTTGACTAATGAAAATAATATAGAAATATCTTTTTTTTTCTGGATGATTTGTTGAATTTTTTTCCGTAGAATTAGTTCATTGCATGGATTTTTGCGATTGAGTTATTTTTAAAAATTAATAAGATTATGGGGGCTTTAATTTGGAAAATTATTGAGGGAGAGAGAAATAATATTGATATGTGGGTGAGAGAAGAGATAATTGCAATTATTCATATTAGTATTAATTTTCAAGTACAAAATTTAATAGTAAATACAAAAAACATCACAATCGCATTATTTATAATATATGATACTTGAAGAAGTAGTCTATCTAATTTTCTCATATATAACCCACGTTTGGTTTTGCAAAAAATAATAATTTTTTTTTTTGTATATTTTGATTAAAATTGATAAATTATATGGTCAAAAAGTTGATAAAAATTATAAATTTCATGAAATGTGTAGTTGAAAATGCATTTGAAAAAAATATTTTTTTAAAAAAAGGTCAAACAGGCATAGGCGAAAAATGACAAAATCCAAATATGAAACATTGGAGAGAAATAGTACAATAAATGGGTGGGAGTTAAATGAATTTCAATTGACTCGCATTGACAAATTTGGAGAAATGACTAAATTGTAAGAGATCCAAGTTCGGGACTAAAATGTAAATACTTAAAAGTTGTGCCGAACCTCACGATGAAGATTTGAGAGTGCTCGGAGTTAATTGGATAAAAGAAGACGTCAATGGAATCAAATTTAGTCAAAAGATGATCACAAATCAATTTCCAACTAAAAAGTTATGCTCCGATATTTTAGTCTCATATTGAGACCTATTTTTGTCATAGAAAGTGATCGAATTGGAAAATGATGTCTGAATCAAAGTTGTAGCCAGATGAGTTAGCTTTCCAACGCATTTTGAATCGCTTCAATCGGATATCGGAATACAAAATTATGATAAAAACACTGAAAAAAGGTGCAGCTGTCTGTTTAAAACAAGAAATTCCGTTATATAGTCCGTTAAAACAACAAATTCCGTTAGTTTTTCCGTTAAAAATAAGAAATTCCGTTACATAGCCACTTTTAATATATAGAAGATATATATATATATATATATATATATATTGAGGCAGAGAAAAAACGTTGAGTAGGAGAACTGCGGTGCAGGGGGAAAATGCAGAAAAGAGAGAAGAAAACCAAAGGAAAAAGAAAAAGAAAAGTGGAGAAAAAGACGGGAGGGAAAGAAAAGAAAAAAAAGAAAGGAAAAGAAAAGAAGAAAGGCGGACCTGAAAAATTTCAGGTTTCGTCAATTTTTTATAATGTCGTTCTACTTTTATATGTTTTTATTTTTATAATATGAATAACTAATTTTTATATTAGGGAAAATAATGTAGTTGACTTGTGATCCTTTATTTTTCTTTTTTTGTTTTATGTGATTTATTCTTATATGTGTTGGTTTTATTATGAGTTTATTTCTATTCAAGATTTATGTGATTTGTTTATTTATGTGTTGGTTTTTTTATTATGAGTTTAATACATTAAATTACCCGATCAATAATTTAATAATTATGTGAGTCTCTATGAATCGAGAGGTGAGTTTGAGATTTAAACCATATAATAAAATTCGGTAAATTAATATAACGTGTAGAGGTACATATACTAATTATTGCGGTTAGAATATGAATTCTTAGAAATAGTGTTTCATTTAACTATGGTTGATTCATATAGAGATATGTAATTTAATTAGTTAAACATGCTCAATGAGAACTCGAGAAGTGTAAATTGAATACAATAGAAAAAATCGATCGAACACTACATTAGGTTATGAATCTTGAATTAAGAATTAAGGTGATCAATAGATAAAATTGTTATACCCTAATATTCATCACATATTTGAATTTTCAATTATCTGTTATTTGCAATTTTTTTATAGTTTCAATTAGTTAAAAGTAGTTAG